CATGCTGGAGTCCACAGCCCTTAGTTCACACTCTCAAGAGAGTAAAAGCTGTCTGGTCGAGCATCCAACCCTGGGGGCTGGGAGTTATCACGCTGTACAAAACACAGCCCTTGAGACTATGGAAGTCTGGTGTTTTATCCTACTTGCCAGCTAACGGCTCAGCAGGTTGTAGTTTCACGGGTGCTGGAAGGAGAGACTCGAAACTCCTGAGTCCAAGATAAAGGACTGCACTACTCACCAGCAACCGCCACATCCACACTTGGGCCAGTTCAGCGAGACCCAATTCTACAGCGCCATGAACAGGCCATGGGTTGCCTTACACAGGAGGAACCCCACATCTTTCATAATGGGCAGTAAGCCTACCTGACCTTTGCCCTAGAGGGAAGCATTACCCTTACTGCATGCTTGTAAACAAGCCCACCCTTTGCTCTGGAGATAGACAGCATCTCTACCTACTAAGGGTGCTCACTATGCAAGCATCCTTGCAAAAACAGCTAGGAACAAAGGAGGTCAGTTCCTCTATTCTTAAGATATAAAGAAACATGAGAGTTCCCTGTTTCCAACAAAACTAAATAAATGGACATACATACTATGTTCATGGACTGGAAGGCTCAATATTGCTAAAATGCCAATTCTCCCCAAATGAAATGTCAATTCAGCACAACCCCGATAAAAATCCCAATAGGATTTGTTTTTGGTAGAAAGTGACATGCTGATTTCTCAAATTATCTGGAAACACAAAGAACTTAGAAATAACGAAAAAAACACTTTGAAAAATCAGAAAAGTGTTGGAGGATTTACATTACCTGATGTAAGATTTATTATAGAGTATGATACTGGCATAAAGACAAAAATGGATCCACGGAACAGAATAGTAAGTCCAAAACCACGCTCTCACATACACTGTCATGTGATTTTCAACAAAGGTTCAGAGGCAGTCTGGTGGAGAAAGTGGCCTTCACAACAAATGGCATTATACCAACCAAGCAGCCGTACAGAAAACAAGAACTGGGATTCTCACTTCCTGCCACACGCAAGTATTATTCCAAAATGGATCACAGACCTAAATCTATAAAACTCAAAACTTTAGAACTATTAAAAGAAAACAAATTTAGGCGCACCTGGGTGGCTCAGTCAGTCGAGCATCCAACTTCAGCTCAGATCATGATCTCGCAGTTCATGAGTTCAAGCCCCCCACATTGGGTTTGCTGCTGTCAACGCAGAGCCTGCTTCAGATCCTCTGTCCCCGTCTTTCTACCCTTCCCCTGCTTATGCTCTCTCAAAAATAAATAAAACATTAATACACCAAAAGCACAATTCATAAAAGAAAAAGAACAAGTTAAACCTCATCAAAATTAAGAACTTCCATTCTTTGAAAATGCTTTAAAGAAAATGAAAAGAGGGGCGCCTGGGTGGCGCAGTCGGTTAAGCGTCCGACTTCAGCCAGGTCACGATCTCGCGCTCCGTGAGTTCGAGCCCCGCATCAGGCTCTGGGCTGATGGCTCGGAGCCTGGAGCCTGTTTCCGATTCTGTGTCTCCCTCTCTCTCTGACCCTCCCCCGTTCATGCTCTGTCTCTCTCTGTCCCAAAAAAAATAAATAAACATTGAAAAAAAAAATTTAAAAAAAAAAAAAAGAAAATGAAAAGAGAAGCCACAGACTGGGAGAAAATATTTGCAAACCACGTACTGACAAAGGATTTGCATCTAGAATATACAATGAACTCTCGATACTCAATCAAAACAACCCAATTTTTTTTTAATGGGCAAAAGATATGAAACGATACCTTATCAGAGAAGATACATGGATGGGAAATTAGTACATGAAAAGGTGTTCAACATCGTTAGTCATAACAAAAGTGCAAATTAAGGGGCGCCTGGGTGGCGCAGTCGGTTGAGCGTCCGACTTCAGCCAGGTCACGATCTCGCGGTCCGTGAGTTCGAGCCCCGCGTCGGGCTCTGGGCTGATGGCTCAGAGCCTGGAGCCTGTTTCCGATTCTGTGTCTCCCTCTCTCTCTGCCCCTCCCCCGTTCATGCTCTGTCTCTCTCTGTCCCAAAAATAAATAAACATTGAAAAAAAAATTTATAAAAAAAAAAAAAAGTGCAAATTAAGACCACAGTGAGGTGTCACTATCTAAAGTCTAAAGTTAAACAGAGAGACCAGCGAGCACTGACAAGGTTACGCAGCAGTTGACATACTGCTGGGGGGTGTGCAAAATGGTAGCATACACTTACCATACACCTAGACGTTCCACTCCTAGGTATTTACCCAAAAGAAATGAAAACATATATCCATGCAAAGACATACTAGAATGTTCACAACAGTTTTATTTATAATAGCCGAAACCTAGAGACAACCCAAATGTCTATCAACACCTGAATAAATAAAGCAACTGCAGTGCACCCACATCACAGGGCACTATTTAGCGATAAAAAGCAGCCAATTATCAGTCCATAATAACAACACGGACGGATCTCAAAATAATCATGTGGAATGAGAGAAGCCAGGCAAAACAGAATACAAGATGCAGGAATCCAGGAATATAAATTCGTGGAAAATGAAAACTAATTTATAGTGCAAAAAGGTGGTGAATGAGTGGGAAGACAGGAGCAGAGGGATGGGAGGGAGGGACCACCAAGTGGTACAAGGTACCTTTTGGGGGTGATGGCCACCTTCACTATCTTTATTGTGGTGACAGGTGCATATTTACATCAAAACTTATCCATTGATTGCCTTAAACGTGTGTTTATTGCATGTCAATTATACCTCCAAACTGCTGTTACAAAAAAATCAGCATTCACCAGCAAGTGGAACTGAAGCTCCAGGGGAGATTGACCTAAGTTATGAAAAAATAAGGAAAGTCTATTTTTGCACACTTGAGTGAAATATGTACCTACTAAACACACAGTGTTAAAAGTTATGATGGTGGCGCCTGGATGGCTCAGTTGGTTAGGTGTCTGACTCTTGATTTCAGCTCAGGTCATGATCTCACACTGCGTGAGATTGAGCCCCATGTCAGGCTCTGTGCTGACAGTGTTGGAGCCTGTTTAGGATTCTCTGTCTCCCTCTCTCTCTCTCTCTCTCTCTCCCTCTCCCCCCCCCACTCCCACTTGGGTGCATGCACATGCGCACTCTCAAAATAAATGTTAAAAATAAATAAATAAAATAAAAGTTATGATGAACAGATTGGGACAAAATTTTGTTAACTTGGTGGTCAGACGTTGGCCACAACATTTTTCTAGATGTGTCTCCTGAGGCAAGAGAAACAAAAGCAAAAATAAACTGTTGGGACTTCATCAAAATAAAGTTTGCTTCTGCACAGCAAACAAAACCAATAAAATAAAAAAGTAACCTACAGAACAGGAGAAGACATTCACAAATGACATGTCTGATAAAGGGCAAGTATCAAAAATACACAATAGAACTTATAAAACTCAACACCCCAAAAAACAAATACTTCAATTTAAAAATAGGCAGAAGGGGGCGCCTGGGTGGCGCAGTTGGTTGAGCCTCCAACTTCAGCCAGGTCACGATCTCGCGGTCCATGAGTTCGAGCCCCGCGTCGGGCTCTGGGCTGATGGCTCAGAGCCTGGAGCCTGTTTCCGATTCTGTGTCTCCCTCTCTCTCTGCCCCTCCCCCGTTCATGCTCTGTCTCTCTCTGTCCCAAAAATAAATAAACGTTGAAAAAAAAAAATTTTTTTAAAATAGGCAGAAGACAGGAACAGGCATTTCTCCAAAGAAGACATACAGATAGTTAACAGGTACACGAAAAGATGCTCAATGTCACTCATCACCAGGAAAATGAAAATCAAAGCCCCAATGAGATCCCACCTCTCACCTGTCAGAACGGCTAAAATCAAAAACACAAGAAATAAGAGCTGTTGGTGAGCATGTGGAGAAAGGAGAACTCTCATGTACTATTTATTGGTGGGATGGCAAACTGGTGCAGCCACTCTGGAAAATAGTATGGTGGTTCCTCAAGAAGTTAAAAGCAGATCTACCTATGACCCAGTAATCACACTACTGGCTATTTACCCAAAGAGTATGAAATCGCTAATCCCACTAGCGAAAGCATATATGCACCCCTACGTAAACTGCAGCGTTATCTGTAGTAGCCAAATTATAGGAGCAGCCCAAGCGGTCTCATCTATTGATGAGTAGATAAAGAAGATGTGGCATACGTATAATGGAATACTACTCAGTCATAAAAAGGAATAAAATCTTGCCATTTGCAATGATATGACTGGATCCAGAGAGTATAATGGTATGTGAAATAAGCCAGTCTGAGAAAGACAAGTATCATATGATTTCACTCACAATTAAGTGGAATTTAAGGAACAAACAAACAAAGGGGAAAAATAGGGACAAACCAAGAAACAGACTCCTAACTATAGAGAACAAACTGGTGGTCACCCGAGGGGAGGTTGGTGGGGGGGGGGGAAGATAGATGAAGGGAATCCAGAATACATTTATCATGAGAAGCAGTGAGTAACACAGAGAAATGTTGAATGTATAATGTATACATGTATTATATAGCGGAAACTAATATAACACCGAAGGTTAACTACACAAAGACAGTAGACAGAGCTTTTATTTCAAAGAAAATAACAACCCCACATACACATACTACATATGTAACTCCAGGGCTGCAATCTCCCTGATGTCTTTTTCCCCACGTTCTTTCCCTGACATTCGGAGCCGCAGACGACACACCCAGTGCTGTAACTGCCCGCAGAGAAAGGGATGGGTGAACGCCCCTTGCCAGCTGTTCTAGAAGATCATTTTTCTTTGTGTCACAGAATCATAACTGAGAGCAATACTCCAGAAGCAGAACCAGAAATACCCTAGCACCCCACTGAGCTCTTTATAGTTTGAAAGCTTTCTTTGAAAAAATGCTAATACCCTTGGGCCCGCCATCCCAACCTTACAGCTTCCTCCAGCCACAGAGGGGCAGGCGCCCAGGCTGGGCGAGAAGGCGCACAGGGGAGCCCTCTCTCCTCACCACTCAGAAGCCACCAAAGCAGCGGGATGAAGCCCGGGCTCTCGCTGATGTACTTCAGGCCTTTCAGGTTGATGCTCACGTTGTACAGGGACATCAGCAGTAACCTGAAATGTAAAGAAGGCAGGTTGAGTTGTGCCCCACGTGGAGTCTCACCCCCAGCACACCTCCTGGTGAACACCGCGGGGGTCCCACTCAACAGGCCGGGTGACAGGGGCCGGAAACGGGGTGTAGGCCTCCAGGACGCTACAGGAAAATGGGAAGCTCCGGCAACAGGGCCACATAAAACCACCTTCGCAAAGTGCACCTAATCAAGGGACACGACTGCAGAGAGGGTCCCACAGGAAACCTCAAGACCAGATTTATGCAGTCATCTCTTATTACCAGTCCTGCATTTACACACAGGCAACCCTCAATTCACAAGCATACTGTGTTCTAACAGTTCAATTCAGCTGCTTACAACTGAATCCTATCTTCTCATTCAATGGAAATTATCCAGATGCCTGGGTAGCCCACTCAGGCCATACAAATGTGTTTAATCCACAGCATGAGGGATGAAGAATGCCATAACCCCATTTCTAACACCGACAAGACAGTATCCAGAGTTAATCAGGATCTTAGAAGCTATCGTAAGAACTGACCACAACTGCTAAGTTAGAGTCTAATGAAAACTGGAAAACTGCCAGACAGATTTCTAGTAATACTGCAGAATACAGAGATCCCAAAACCTCACATTGCAAAGCAATTTAAAAGAAAAGAAATGAAAAGAAAAGAAAAAACAAGCTACACAAAGATTTTGCAAGCCCCTGAAAGAATGGATGAGCTTGCAAGAAGTAAAGGGAAAATACCCCTGACCAGGAACTCGGTGAGAGTGCAAATTCAGGGAGGCGTGACGACAGATTCCAGAAGCACACAGCTATGGTGCAGCAGAGTGGCTATGGGCAGCAGGACAGAAGGAAAGGTCTCAGACCCACACGAGACAGGGACTCAGATCACAGAGCCCTGCGGAAAACCAGAGAGAGTGAGCTGTCAAGCTGGGCATGAATCCACACTTTGTGGATGGCCTGAAAATCCACAAGCCAATAATTTTAAGACAAAGGAGAGCCGGGATAGAACCCTCAACCCGATCTTCAAAGAACTGCCCCAAATACAGTACCAACAAATGTGAGTCCATAACAAAAATCACAAAAGCCATGAGAAACGAGATGTCACAAGTGAGAGCACAAAGAACCAATGAGAGTCAGAATTTTTCTACAAAGAGAACTGGCACACCCTGGAAGTGTCAACCACAGAACAGAAAATGGGTATATTTAGTAGGTACAGAGAATACAAAGAGAGGGGCGCCTGGGGGGGCTCAATCGGTTGAGCGTCCAACTTCGGCTCAGGTCACGATCCAACGGTTCGTGAGTTCGAGCCCCACATCGGGCTCTCTGCAGTCTGCACGGAGCCTGCTTCAGATCCTCTGTCCCCTCTCTCTCTCTGCCCCTCCCCCACTTGCACACATTCTCTCTCAGAAATAAAAATAAATATTAAGAAAAATACAAAAATAAATTTAAGAAACGAGATAAAGGAGCTACGGAGTATTACAAGTGGCCAGCCCATTCAAAGGAGGACCTAGAACTTACAAAAAGTGAAAGGGTAACATTCAAATGGTGAAACTCAAGGGAAACTGAGGCGGTGGCAAGGCTGGTAAGGAGAGGCCCCACACAGAGAGAGAGAAGGAGTTAAAGGAGCTACGGCGAGCAGAGCACAGGCGGGGAGGAGGGAGCGTAGGCAGGCGGGGACTCGGCCCGGGACGCCGCCCGGGAGCACTACAGTGCAGGGCAAAACCTCCGTGGCCCCGGCCCAGCCTGCACGGACAGACAGCACCTCCACAAGGCAGCCCCGAAGAGGCCCCGTGAGCAGTAGGGGCTGGAAAACCAAGGACAGGGCCCAGAGTGTGTTGATCACCTCAGGGGAGTCGGAGTTTAAGAGTCAGGTAAAGCTAACCGCCTGCTAGGACAAACTCTTTCCCTTCAGGAAGAGATAACAGAACCCAGAGTCCACAGAGACAACCTGCAAAGTCCAGGAGACGCTGGAAGATTTACCCGGCAGGGCCCACTAGGGTGCAGAGAGAAGGCATTTCTTTGGTGCAAATGCAAGGGAAGCCAAAACGGTCAGTAAACAAGTTTTTTTTTAATGTACGGTACGGCAAACTTTTAAAAAATCAAAACCACTGCAAAAACTCCGTAATAAGCAATACGTCAACATTTTAAATAAAGAAGGGATCAGTAACAGTGTCATGCCAAGACACATTGGAGCCTGAAGCAAAAGAAAATCAATAATAGCGATTCAGTCCATTAACAAGGGACTAATTAAATCAACTGCGGTACACGCACACATGCACGCCACAGAAATGTTTACTACGGTTTTCTGTTAAAATAGTTGGTTTCTAAGCTCCGTGGCTTATTCATTTTTGCAGCCACACAGCCTGCTGCAGGGCCTGTAAGCACTCAGTTTGAATACGGAAAGGGCACCAACCCCCAGCGACTGAGAGCCCCAGCAGGGCAAAGCACGCAGAGACAAGGCGTTCTCTCCCCGTATTCCCATGGGTGTTTGCAAAGTCAAAGTAATGCTACCAAGTTCAAGAAGACAACGCTAGACTAGCGCCCTCCAGGGCAGTGATGCCCAGTTCTCAGATGATGGTCCTCTGCCTTCTCACGGGCCACAAAAGGAGCCAAACTTGCAAATCCTTTCAAGGTTTCCCGAGAATGTTTGCAGTATCCAAACCCTATTCATTAGTAATCTATTTAATGAGTTACTAAGAGCGGTCCAAATGTCGTATTCATGAGGAAAATTCAGCACTTTAACTAGAACTTTCTGAGGCCTCCAACCCAGGAATCTAAGAAGAGAGAAGTTCTTTTCTCAGATCACCAACACAGGTAGTCGGAATTCCTCCAAGTTACACGTAGTGTCCCCGCGTTTCCGTATGCTACAACAGCACGGCCGAGTCACTGCTACAGAGGCCATGTGGCCCGCAAAGCCTAAAGTACTTTCTCTCTGGCCCTCTACATATAAAGTTTGTGACCCCTGCCTTAGAGAATGAAAATAAGCTAGCTAATCTTTTTTATTTTTTTTTAAGCTAGCTAATCTTTAAACCTTAAAAGGCAGAATCGGCACGTGAGTGAAAGCTGGAATACAGGGCAAACCCAGGAAATACAGGCAGCCGAAACGCTCCACTGACTGCCATTTAAGGTGGCAAAAACGACTCACAAAATTGACAAGTACCTTTAAAATTCGTATTTGGTCAAAATCAGCCATCCGGAGGCAGCTAAGATGAGAACAAATGTGATCGCAGTGATCTCATGTCATTGCCAGGCTGTATCTCACAGAAGACCAGAGACTTCTCCAAGGTCACACGGGACTCAGCAAACAGCAAACCCAGAAAACCTTCTGTTCCAAGATTTCTATTCTAACCACAAGTATTTTGTAAATCACGTATCAAGTTTCCAACTGCAAAGTCAAGAGAAACTGCACCATCGACTCTTCTGGCACTGAGGGATTAAAAGTACACGTCACCTCCCAAAGTGCTGGGGTGCCAGGAGTCCGACGTCCCTCCAGTGACCAAAAAAGTAGGCAGATTCTGCTTCCTTCCATGAAGCTAAGCAGAAGATTTGTTACAAACAGACGCGAAGGCTCCGAAGGCTGGGAACCGCGGACACATCTGGTATCAACAGAGAGAGGATGAAACCCAGGCTACGCGAGAGACACTGGCAAACCCACTCCTTCCACCCAGCTTCCCCGGGCCGGGCTGCACAGAGCGGCCTGGTAAGAAGCCAGGAAGCCCTCCTGACAGTCCGACGGACAGGCTGAGTCATTACAAGTAAAGGTGACACTCCTGGATTACCTTACTCGTCTTAAAAGAAATGACGACTGGGAGTAACAAAGAACAGAGCCACCCAACACTTCAAAACAAGCCAACAACAGAAATAGACAAAAAGGCATAACCACAGGAAAGAAAAGCCCCGACCGGTCATCTGGACTAAAACCAAAAGTAGCCAAATTAGCACCGTCAAGTAAAGCTGGGGAACAATGAGCAATAAAATGCTTATAAAAGCCCGCACATATTAACCGAGAGAGGCAAACGGCAGAGCCTTACCACCATACTTCAGACGAAACAACGCACAGAAACTGGCAGTTTGAGGCCCACCAACATATACATATTTTTGGAAATCTCACTGAGCATTTGCCATGGGCCAACTGTAGGAGCAGGTACCTGTCCTAGTAAATATTTTTGAAGCTTTTACTCAAATCCCAGTTAACATGCAGTGTAGTATTAGTTTCAAGCGTACGATATAGTGATTCGACACCTCCATACATCGCCTGGTGCTCATCACAAGTGCCCCCCTTAAGCCCCATCACCTATCGCACCCATCCCCACCTCCCCTCTGGTGACCAGCAGTGTGCTGTCTACAATTAAGAGGCTGTTTCTTTCTTTGCCTCTCTTCTTTTCCCCTGTGCTGCTTTTGTTGCTTAAATTCCATACCTATAAGTGAGATATGGTATTTGTCTTTCTCTGACTTATTTCACTTAGCATAATACTCTCTAGATCCAACCATGTTGTTGCAAATGGCATGATTTCACTCTTTTTTAAGGCTGAATAATATTCCATTACACACACACACACACACACACACACACACACCACATTTTTATTCATTCATCAATGGACATTTGGGCTGCTTTCATAGTCTGGCTATTGTAAATAATGCTGCTATAGACGTTGAGATGCATGTACCCCTTTGAATCAGTATTTTTGTATCCTTCGGGTAAATACCCAGTAATACAATTGCTGGATCATAGGGTAGTTCTATTTTTAACTTTTTCAGGGAACCCCATACTGTTTTCCAGAGTAGCTACACCAGTTTGCATTTCCACCAACAGTGCACAACACAAGGCTTCCCTTTTCCCCACATCCTGGACAATACTTGTTTCTTGTGTTGTTGATTTTCACCATTCGACAGGTGTAAGGTGGTAGCTCACTGCGGTTTTGGTTTCCATTTCCCTGATGATGAGTGACACTGAGCATCTATTCATGTGTCTGTTGGCCATCTGGATGTCTTCTTTG